TTGTGTGGAGGGTGGGACCCCATAGACCTGGCTATCAAAGGTGCAAGATCTCACCTTGCTAGAGCCCTGAAGCTGAGGACTCAGGGCTTTGCTTTGATCCCTCTACAGGGGCCTCCACTCTTACAGTGTAACCATCTGGGACCCTCTGTGGGAACGTATGTGACAAGATCCTAGCTAGACAAGTTCAGATTCTTTACGTCTCTGGTGCTGGCATTTGTCTCCTGGAAAACACTGCAGACAGCCCTGCAGATACTGTAGTGGGTTCCTGCTATCTCACAGAAAATATTACTTTCTGAATGCATTTGTGGTTGTACCCTAATACCCATCAAAAGTTAAACACAGTTGTGGCAATAAGAATCCAAGGTACTGTTTTATAATAATGTGCTTTTAAGGGTTCTAAGATGCCATTGGGATAGTAATTGAGAACTAGGATTAAGGCACCCAAAGTAACAACCTCTACTTGCAATTCACGAAGGGCAAGAATTGTAAGCAGGAAAGGTCCAGCTTGCCATTGACCTTACTGCATTAATCCCGAAAATATACACTATTGCTACACCTTATTCTGATTGCAAGAAATACCAAGATGAGAGACTCAAGCAACAGTGGGAATTCAGAAGAGGGCTGCTTTGAAGGGCTAATTCTTAGGGCCTATTGATGGCAGGAGTCGTTTTGGTAATTCAGACGTTCCCTCTCAAATTTTGATCATGGCATCGTGCCTTCTCCTCTCAATAAGCTGCGTCATTAATAAAAGCAGTGGTATCATCCTCTTACATCGAAGAACTGACTGGGAACTAGGCCAGGGGTCACAGCTGCTCAGGGCACTCTTCAGGGAAGTTTGGCCAGGAACTCAGGATGACTCCTTGAAATCCAGAGCTGATCGAACTCTTGCTATTCCCTGTGCAGTGTGACACGAAGACGACTACAGGAGATCAAGAAGCCCAGGGAGAAAAGGAGAGCTCTTCACGCCTGGCCACCTCCACCAATAATTCTTTGTCTGCAAACACTGCAATATGAGCATCAACAGGTATGTGTGTTCCCTCCAAGGTGGAGGTGAGTTGGAGGGTCTTGGATCTGAAAGTCACGTGCCATGTTGGGGCAGAGTCAGTTTTTGAGACTGCTTTTGGTCTGCTTTGCAGACTTGCTTCCCTCAATTTAACCTAAGCTTATAATTGTGGCTGGATCTGTGTTTTGAGCACAGCTCCAGGTAGCTGTACAAGGTACTTCCTGTAACCATAGACCAGTTACTAGTTACGCACAGTTCTGCACTCAAGGAGACATAGCCTTCCCCGCTAAAAACTTAATAACGTGAATTTTCTTTTCTTTTTTTTTTTTTTATTTTGGGAGACAGAGTTTCACTCTGTTGCCCAGCAAGAGTGCTGTGGCGTCAGCCTTGCTCAAACTCTAGCTCAAGTGATCCTTCTGCCTCAGCCTCCCGAATAGCTGGGACTACAGGCATGCACCACCATGCGCCGGCTAATTTTTTCTACATATTTTTAGTTGTTTAGATAATTTCTTTTATTTTAGTAGAGGACAGGTCTCGTTTTGCTTAGGCTGGTCTCAAACTCTGATCTCAAGCAATCCTCCTTCCTCAGCCTCCCAGAGTGGTAGGAGTACAGATTGACCACCAGCTGGCCATAGCTGAATTTGAACTCATAAGAACACTAAGCTTATTACACAGATGAAGAAATATATACTTTGAACTGGAATCTCCATGTGATGCACCTAAAACTCTTGGATATAGATTGAAAATTGTGGCATTAGAAGGATCTGTGCCTCCAAGGTTAAGCAGCCAGGCACTATGATATCGCAGCACCCAGTACTAGGCTCTTAAAGCCCAGGATACTGAGTAAAGAGCATTACAAAAATGTTCTTTCACTTCTCTTGTGTTTGTGTTTAATGATGATCCATTAGCTTTTTTGAGCAGAGCCAGGGTCAGGTTTAGCATAAGTGAAGTTTGGTAAGTTAAAAGAAAAAGAGCCATAAAGAATACAACTATTAAATCACAGCGTCCTCAAACTACAGCCTGCAGGCCATATGCGGGTATTTTTGCCTGTTTTTTTTCTTTACTTCAAAATAAGATATGTGCAGTGTGCATAGGAATTTGTTCATAGTTTTTTTTAAACTATAGTCCGGCCCTCCAACGATCTAAGGGACAGTGAACTGGCCCCCTGTTTAAAAAGTTTGAGGACCCCTGATTTAAATATAGTGTATTATGGGATTTATATGTATACTTTTGTACATCTCTTTATATCTCTCTCTATTCTCCTCTCTCTCTATATATATATCTAAGGCATCTAGATAGCTATACATATTTCCAATCTATCTATATGTTTATCAGTACTATCTCTGCATATTTTATATATATGTATTTTCCATCAGCCTATCCATTCATCCATCAGTCACAGAGGTAATATCCACACTCATATCCAGATGATTGAGTGATTGAGTCCTTCATTCACCAAAACTTGAGCACAAAAAAGTAAGCAGGAAGGCAGGTGTCTAGAGGAAAACAGGAGGAAAGAAGGGTAAGGAAGAAAGAGGCCAACACGTGTTACTAAGTTGTACTGTTTGAATATACTGTGTGAAGCTGACAACACCCCTGCACTGATGTCACCATTTTACAGATAAACTGTTCAGAGAAGGTAAGGTCACCTGATTAGGGTCACCCAGGAGGCCAGTGCCGACTATGTAATTTTCTGGGTCCAGTGCAAAATGAAAATGCTGGGCCCCAATATTCAAAAGCAGGAAAAGGCTGGGTGCAGTGGCTCACGCCTATAATCCTATCACTCTGGGAGGCCAAGGCAGGAGGATCCTTTGGAGTTCAAGACAGCCTGAGCAAGAGCAATACCTATCTCCTACAAAAACCAGAAAAAATTAGCTGGGTGCGGTGGCAGGAGCCTGTAGTCCCAGCTACTTGGAGGCTGAGGCAGGAGGATGGCTTGCATCCAGGGTTTTAGGTTGCAGTGAGCTATGATGATGCCACTATACTCCAGCCAGGGTGACAGAGGCAAGACCCTGTCTCAAAAAAAAAAAAAAAAAAAAAAAAAAAGGCAGGAAAAGAGTGATGTTATAAAGTATTCAAACACAAAACTCTTTCTTTCTTGGCATAGTCTCTCTCTTGAGCTGTCATGGTAGTGTTGGTGGAGTTTACAGTTTCTGCTATTCCTGTTGTGCTCCTTCAGGCATGTGGATCCCTCGGGGGTGAATGCAGCCTGTCATGTGTTTAACTTTTGATGGGTATTAGGGTACAACACAAATGCATTCAGAAAGTACTATTTTCTGTGAGCTAGCAGGAACCCACTACAGTATCTGCAGGGCTGTCTGCAGTGTTTTCCAGGAGACAAATGCCAGCACCAGAGACGTAAAGAATCTGAACTTGTCTAGCTAGGATCTTGTCACATAGCGTCTCCCACAGGGGGTCCCAGATGGTTATACTGTAAGAGTGGAGTGCCCCTGTAGAGGGATCAAAGCAAAGCCCTGAGTCCTCAGCTTCAGGGCTCTAGCAAGGTGAGACTTGGCACCTTTGATAGCCAGGTCTATGGGGTCCCACCTCCAGCACCCAGTACTAGGCTCTTAAAGCCCAGGATACTGAGTAAAGAGCATTACAAAAATGTTCTTTCACTTCTCTTGTGTTTGTGTTTAATGATGATCCATTAGCTTTTTTGAGCAGAGCCAGGGTCAGGTTTAGCATAAGTGAAGTTTGGTAAGTTAAAAGAAAAAGAGCCATAAAGAATACAACTATTTAAATCAAGTGTCCTCAAACTACAGCCTGCAGGCCATATGCGGGTATTTTTGCCTGTTTTTTTTTCTTTACTTCAAAATAAGATATGTGCAGTGTGCATAGGAATTTGTTCATAGTTTTTTTTAAACTATAGTCCGGCCCTCCAACGATCTAAGGGACAGTGAACTGGCCTCCTGTTTAAAAAGTTTGAGGACCCCTGATTTAAATATAGTGTATTATGGGATTTATATGTATATCTTTCTGTACATCTCTTTATATCTCTCTCTATCTCTCTCTCTCTCTATATATATATATCTAGGCATCTAGATAGCTATACATATTTCCAATCTATCTATATGTTTATCAGTATCTATCTCTGCATATTTTATATATATATTTTTTCCATCAGCCTATCCATTCATCCATCAGTCACAGAGGTAATATCCACACTCATATCCAGATGATTGAGTGATTGAGTCCTTCATTCAACAAAACTTGAGCACCAAAAAGTAAGCAGGAAGGCAGGTGTCTAGAGGAAAACAGGAGGAAAGAAGGGTAAGGAAGAAAGAGGCCAACATGTGTTACTAAGTTGTACTGTTTGAATATACTGTGTGAAGCTGACAACACCCCTGCACTGATGTCACCATTTTACAGATAAACTGTTCAGAGAAGGTAAGGTCACCTGATTAGGGTCACCCAGGAGGCCAGTGCCGACTATGTAATTTTCTGGGTCCAGTGCAAAATGAAAATGCTGGGCCCCATATTCAAAAAGCAGGAAAAGGCTGGGTGCAGTGGCTCATGCCTATAATCCTATCACTCTGGGAGGCCAAGGCAGGAGGATCCTTTGGAGTTCGAGAACAGCCTGAGCAAGAGCAATACCCTATCTCTACAAAAACCAGAAAAAATTAGCTGGGTGCGGTGGCAGGAGCCTGTAGTCCCAGCTACTTGGGAGGCTGAGGCAGGAGGATGGCTTGCATCCAGGGGTTTTAGGTTGCAGTGAGCTATGATGATGCCACTATACTCCAGCCAGGGTGACAGAGCAAGACCCTGTCTCAAAAAAAAAAAAAAAAAAGCAGGAAAAGAGTGATGTTATAAAGTATTCAAACACAAAACTCTTTCTTTCTTGCATAGTCTCTCCCTTGAGCTGTCATGGTAGTGTTGGTGGAGTTTACAGTTTCTGCTATTCCTGTTGTGCTCCTTCAGGCATGTGGATCCCTCGGGGGTGAGTGCAGCCTGTCAAGGGCTGGGGCCACCCTGGGACTGGGCTCATGTGCATGGCCCACCAGCTGCAGCTTTCCCCCTCCCACTAGTGGTGCGACCTACCTGTGGTGCCCGAGCCCAGGCGGCCGTTTTGCCTTCCCACAGCCTGTCCCTCCGACCCACGGTGAATGGGCGACCCCCAGGGGATTGCAATCTCCCCTCCAGAAGGAGTCACTGCCTGGATAGGGGTTGGGTAAGACCCTTCCTGTGCCTACGCCTGGGCCCATTCAGGGGATGAGGGCAGTAGTGGTCCCTGGACCCAGCCAGAAAGGGGAAGGCTGCACAGGGCCGGGGGTCCAGGGGGCTGAAGAGCAGGCAGAACCCATCCTGTGAAAATAGGCAGGAGGTCGGCCATGGGTGAATCAAAGCTCCACATGCCTCACATATACTCCATCACTTACAAAACACAAATTCAGAGATAGAAGGAAGAATCTCAAGGAGGCAGCCACAAGCACTGAGCTCCAAGGGCCCCGTGTGTCAGCACACCAGTGTAGTCCCATGGCACCTGGCCATGGAAAGCTGGCCCTGAAGGAGGTAAATGGTAAAGGTGGGATTTGAGGGCAGGTCAGTCTGATGTCAAAATCCACACACTTTCTACTACATGTGAGCACCATCGGGGCAGTGAGCATCTACACAGGGCCCCACCGTGGGTTAATGGCCAATGCTGCGTGGAAACCCTGCTAGGGAATTTTTATAAAATTGTCTTTGCATCTGTATCAAGAGGAAAGGCAAACAGCTGCTTTTTGAAGATACTTCTTTTCATGAAATTTCTTGCAAGGGGTTCGAATTCTACTTTACAGGGATAAGTTATTTAGTGTTACCATGTGAAGACACACCTTCTTTGGTACTTCAGAATACATTTCTCTGGCGATGGGTGGTCACGAAGATGATTGTCATGGAAAGGGGACTGGGTGCCTTCTCCATGCAAACTTCCAACGTGAGGAATACGTTCAATCTAGGCTAGGAAGCCAACAAGCCTTCCTCCTCAGTCCCCTCTCAGTCAAGGATTTGAAACAGCTGTAAAACCCATGTATCCAAGCTAACTTTTCCACGGACAGACCAGGCTGCCCTTTGAAAACTAGAAAGTATCACACTAACCTCAGGCTGACTTCTATGGCAGGGCTGTGAAGCCAGGCAGCCCGGGTTCATTCCCGGCTCTGCCCCTTATGACCTACATAACCTCAGGCAAGTTGTTTCAGGCTCTCTCAGCCTCAGTTTCCTCACCTGTAAAATGGGCATGCCAATAATATTTGCCTGAATATTTATAAGGGCTGAATGATTTAGTGCATGTAGAGTACTTAGAATGGCATCCCTCACAGGGACACATACAACATGTGTTAACTGTTATTAATGATTTTGTCCTAAATTTGGGACCATCTAGGAATATTGCAACCTTTTGTTTGTCGCCCATTGTGTTTTTCACTGTGGTCCAAATTACTTTGAGGATACAGTAACAGGATGGAATAAAAATCCCCAAAATTGGTTTTAATTTATGATTAAGGTATTCCCTGCTCAAAAACCTTCCAAATTGGCTGCGTGTTTAGCGTCTGCTGCCAGAGGTGTCTCCAGCTTTCCTTGTGCTTGAGTTACTTTCTCAGTCCCCTGCCCTACCTGGTCTACCTGTTCATCCCTTCTGCCACTTCATCCCTGAGCCTCTACTTAGTCATGTGTCCCTCCTTCGCAGGGGCCTGTTCCCAGCCCTCTCCACCAGGAAGTCCTCCTTGGCCAACACTACTGGAAGCAATAGCTGCTGGCTCTGACGGTGCCGGCCGAGGTCCAGCGTCAGGCACTTCCGTGTTTGTTTTCACCCAGGCACAGCCTTAAACTCTGTGAGGCCACTGGCTTCTTAGGTCAAAGAGTGATCCCACCATCAACGTCACCCCATCCCTCCCAGCAAAGAGGGGGTCCACCACATGTTTAGTTTTCTCACAGGCCCTGCATCCAGCTTGCGTCTGCACACAGTTGATAAATACCTCGTGCATGACTATTTTGACATGCAGTGGGACACAGCTTAATTATCTGTAACTATAAAATAGGAATGATAACGGTACTTCCTCCTCGGGCCATTCTAAGGACTTTGCTGACTTAACATATATCAAGTACTTACACCAGTGTCTGGCATATATAAAGTGCTGTATAATTGTTTGTAAGGTGCGCTGCCACCTACAGTCCAGACCAGCGGGCTACCAGTGCTCTAGCCCCTTGCCCACAAGCTAAAGGAAAGCCCCCTCCCTTCCACACCAGGGGGGCCCCAGTCAGCCCCAGGCCTACCTTGCGTTTCCTCTTGGATTTGGGCAAAGCCTTTTCGGGGGGCGTGTCCGAGGCGTGGCAGGGCTGTGCGCTCTCCGCGTCCTTGGCAGCAGGAGCGCTCAAGACCCCTGGCTCCTGGGGCAGGTGCTCTGGGATCCTGGACAGGAGGGTCAGGTCAATTTTGACCCAGAGAGACCTGACCTCATCACTGTCCTTCAGAGGGGAGAGAAGTTCGTTCCGGCCGAAGGGGACCAGCGTGTAGAACTGCTCCTCCAGCTCCTTGGCGATGTCACTGGTGGTCCTGGCGTTGATGGAACCTACGGGGGCCCGGGGGCCGCCGCCACTGCTGCCGCTGTTGGCAGCCTCCTTCAGCCTCTGGTCACTCGCAGAGGAGGCGGAGGCGGCGGCGGCGGAGGCGGCCACGGTCTGCGCTTTGGACAGAGGGTACTCCTCCTGCTCGGACTCCAGGTCGGAGTCCGAGGAGGAGGACGAAGATGATGACTCTGTCTCAATGAACTCCTTGGATTTGGGGACGATCCTGCTCAGTCCCCGTGTGCGGCGCTTCTCACAAGTCACCGAGGAGCGCAGCTCCTTGCGGTGGGTCGCTCTGCTGTTGGCGCACGGCTTGGTTTTGGTGGGCTCTGGGGGGACCACCACGCTGGCTCCCAGCGCGTCCGCGGCCGCGGGCTCCTCGGGCCGGTGGCAGTTGGCGCTGTCCCCGGCCGAGGTCCTCTCGGTGCGCCTGGTGGGCTTCTTGCCCGCCGACCTCCGGGCAGGCACGGGCGCACTCTCCACCGGCGCACCGGGCACCGCGGGCGGCGCAGCGGCGGCTGCGGTCACGGCCACGGCCACAGCCGCGGGCGGGGACTTCTGCTTCACCCCTTTGCTCCCAGGGGCCTTGTTCGCTGTCCTCGGCCTCTGCTCCTCCTTGCAGGTGCTCTTGATTTCCTTCTCTCTCAGGCTGGTTTGGCAAACGTCGGGCAGTTTCCCACAGTCCTGCGCCTCCTCTTTCACAGGGGCGTAGTATTGATTGCTCTCTGGCCCGTGGCTTTCATTTTGGATCAGAATGGGAGGCTTGTGGGGATTAACCTTGTTTAGCCATTTATCCAGCTGCCACTTGTTGGAGGATGCCGGCTCAGCCTGAAAGCAGAAAACCAGTGACAACAAAACATCTTTTATTTCAGGCTCACTTAAAACGGGCCTGTTTTTATCTTGACTTGCTCCTCTGACTGTATGAGCAGAAAACGAATGGGCTGGGAGCAAAAGGAAAACGAAAGCATCAGATGTGTGTAGCAGCCCTCATCTGGCACTCCCGATGTCTGCGTGGTGCTGCTCTTACTGGCTGGTGGCACTTGAATGTCAGTGCAGCATTTTGAAGTCTACTGGGAAAAATAAGTGGAAGCACTGTGGCTTGTTAACCCAATTCCAGCACTTTTGAGTGTAACACAGGATATGTATTTTTACAATTATATTTATATATATGTGTGTGTGTGTATACACACACACACACACACACACACAAACGTGAGATTCTATGAAACTTAACTGGAGAATAGTTTGGAGGCCCTGAGTGTCAAAGCACTCATTTTTTGTTAAGACTTAAAACTTTGGGAGAAATCGGAAGAGGGGGCTGAGTGGAACCCACAATCCTAAAGAATTAACATATAATTTACATATGCAGTGAAGGCTAGTAGGGCACAGTTATTTAACAGCAGAAGCAATGACTTAGGCAAGATGGCTCATTTTGCAGTATGGAACTCCTATTTCAAAGGGACTCGTCTGTGCCTATATGATTCGGCAGCCTCACTTGGTTAGTCCATCCTCAACCTGCTTCTCTCCATGTTTTCCCACATGGAGATGACAATAGAAACCTCTCCTACAAGCAGTTTTGCTAATTTAGATCAAATCACAGATAGCACTGGTTTCAAACTCTGGTCCATAGATTGGCTCAGGGGTGAGGGTGGGGAGAAGGTTGGTGAACACCCTGGAATAGAATGGGAAAGTATTGTGCAGATGCACTTTTTTTCTGGAAGAGGTCCATAGTTTTCAGTGGAGTCTCTAAGAATCTCTCTCTCAAACAAAGTTAAGAACCAATAATTTTATAGGGAGTATTCATTCCTAATAAAAGCCCATTTATTCAGCATTATGATTATTAAGAGCAAACAGGTGTATTGAGAAGCATACAATTCTGGCCAGATTAGTTTCAATTTTTTTTTTTTTTTGGAAGTTCTAGTGCAGATGTATAGTTTCAATTTTTGACTTAAGTAAAAGGTGGAAAATATTTTGAGTGACAAAGGTGGTGCATTTCTCCCTCCCTATGGCTTCCCACCCTCTGGATTTGTAGCACCCCCTGTTTTAGGGGGAGATCAGATACCAGTCTAGAATGAGATGACATTGCTTAGCTTTGTGTTTCAAACTTGGTTGGCTCAAGTCTAGGGCAAGGCAGTACCTTTGTGTGAGAAAAAAAAATAAGAGTTTTTAACATAATAAATTCCAAAAGCTTCCCTTTCTGTATCAAGATGTGTTTTTCAGCAGTGAGGGCCATGTATTAAGAGCAGAACTCAATGGTGATAGTGCTCACCAGGGTTTGGGGGAGGGGGAGATACACATCTTAGGGTTGTGGCGAACACTGTAGGGGGGGGAGGGAATACCTCTAACCCTTCCTAGGGAAAGGCAAAGATATACAATGTAACCCAAAGGTCAAAAAAAGAAAAAAAACAAAACTTTTATTGGGTGGTGGGCAGATGGGAGGGGGAGGAGGGGAAGGATACATACTTATAAAATAGGTGTGCTGTGCACCACTGGGGGTAGGACATGCCTGATGTTTTGGTAAGGCGGGGGGCAGGGGGAAGAATGGCAGGGACAATATATGTAACCCTAAAAATATTTGTATCCCCATAATATAAAATAAAAGTAAAAAAATATTAATTTCTAATAAAAACTTCAAATCTAAAAAAAAAAAATAGAGCAGAACTCAGGGCTCTGGGCGTTGTCACCAGCATCAAGGATCTAAGAGTGGTGAGGAGGGGGCTGTCTGCTAGACACAGGAGCCCTGCCTGACTCTGGAGGAGTGTGGGGCACAGCTCAGGGTCAGGGAAGCCTCTGATGGGCCAAAGGGGGTGGGGACCAAGAGGAATTGGCCACAGTGTGGGGATCAGGCAATCAGAGCTATGGCAGAGACCACTGACATCCTGCTGGTTGCCCCAAACCAGATGAGACCAACTACATTTCACAGCAACTGGCACAGGGTGTCCAGTGACTTGGAGAAACAGAAAATTTCACTGGAGGCCAGAAGAAGGATGGAGGCCCTTCCCCGAGGGCTGTGAGCATGGAGAAGCCCCTCCCGGAATGCAGGTGTGGGAAGGAAGACCCTCATGGCCCCGAGGGGGAGTCTGGCCTTTCACTTGACTTTCTGCCAGGTTTATTTTCATGCCACCAACAGAACCAGGGTTCTAGAGCAAGATACAAAAGAACAAAAAGATCTATCTTTTATGCACCTGTGAGTTCTGTACATTCTGACCTTGCTTTATTTTGGCTTCTCCGGAGAAAGGGAACAAAGGAAACCTACAGAGCACACCTGGTCCACGCTGCAATCAGAGACAGCAGGACAGTGGGCCACAGAACAGCTTCTTGGCCAAGGGGATCCCTCACCTTCCTGGAGAGTAGCTGAGAGTCCCTGGAAGCTGATTTGGTGGGAATAATCTCTGGCTTTTACTTTTGTCTCCCTGCCCCCACTTCTCTCATGATGTGACAACTAGCAAGTCAGTGCCTCGTCCTGTGCCCCCGCTCCCTTGGACAAACGGGACACAGTAGGTATGAGTGGATGCGGGAGGGGCCCCTTGCAGAGAGGGTGCACACTCCGGGAGAGGGCAGACACTTATGGCGGGGCACACCCCTCACACGGCTCCACCACTGCGTCTCATGCTAGTTCTCCCTCATCGCCGCCATCCAGAGCCTTCCAGAGCCCACGTCTCTTATGTGAGAGAGCATGGGAGGTTGTTTGCAGTCAAAACACAGCTGCACACAGGCAGATTCGCGCCGAAACTTCCTAGCGGGAGCATTAACAGTGAAGGGTGGAATTTAATAAATTTAGTACAGGCCCCTTGCCTGGTGTGCTTTAGGGTCATTTTTTCTGCACTTCACAGCTGAAGAAATCAGTCTGAAGTACCATTTTCAACACATCGCTAAATCACACTCTTTCTCAAGGATCTGTAACAGCCTCCTATTGCCTCTCAAACAAAATCCAAATTCCTGAGGCTGGCATTCGAGAGCGTCCATCATCTTGCAATCATCTTTTCATTGCTAGAATACCTACGATACAACTCCCACTTTACATATATTATCTAATTTAATCTTTACACATAAGAAATGTTATCACCCCTGACTCGTAGATGAGATTCAGAGAGGTTAAGTGACAAGTCTGAAGCTGCACAGCTACCAGGCTCCACCAAGACTAAACCTGTACTTATCTAGCTTTAAAGACCATTATTCTCTCCAATGCTACTTCACCTTATCTCCCACTGCCCTTTGGCATAGCCTCATGAAAGGGGGACCTGACTCCTTTGAGAAATGTTGGTCTTCAACCTAAAATGTCAGAATTAGATCTGATTTTTGGAGAAAACACAAATAACTCTTCAAACACCCAACTGTATAACCTTTTGATGCTCATTATTTGTTTCGTGTGTATATTGCTTGTGTCTTCAACAAAGCCAGAGGCTTCTTTCAGGCCAGGGCCAGATCTCTGTTTCTTTTGTGTCGCTCACAGCATCCATCCCAGGTTAGGGGGACAGACTGCTATGACTCTGCTCCTGATAAGAACAACTCAGAGCGAGCTGTCACTCACAGCACAGTATTTATTCCTCACAACAACCTCACAGATCAGGCAAGACAAGAGTATTAGGCAGGCATGAGGCATTTTGTGGCCAAGGAAGCTGAAAGGACAAAGAGTTTGGTGGCAATGAGGAGAGAATATTCAGGACTGCTGACGCTGGTCCACTGGCCTGCTGCTGGCTTTGGGCCACTTCCTGGGCTGTCTGCCCAGGGTTTCCACCCAGCGATTTTGGTTGCCAGCTTGCCGCTTTGTATTTCCAGCCATGACTCTCCTCTCTGATTGATCTTCCCTCTGATCCATGCACAAGCTCCCCACCATTCCTGCTTCATCTATATCTTCCTGGCAACCACTGCCATGGACCCATAGGTGCCTAATGCATGAGATGCTTGTTGAATCAGTAAGCAACTTGCATCCCGCTTCTGCTGAATTTTAAGAATGATTTAGGGCAGCATTTGCCAAAATGTGCTTTTAGTTCATATATCCCATGAAGAAGAATGTTCACGGTCAGATCAACTTGGGAAATGCCACAGTGGAAAGCACATAAAAAATATTAAGGACTAGGTGATGATGCCCCAGGAAAAGCAATGGGGTAAACCTACTTTATCCCAGAACTCCTCAAAATTAGTGACCAGACTCTTATTCTGCACTTAATACTTAAAACGTGGGTGACACTGATGGAGGGAGCTCTGTGTGTTGGCGTCAATGTGCTAGCTGAGTGGAAAGGCAGCTTCCCCTACAAAGTGCTGGCATAAGAGGACGTACCATGCCAGGAAAGCAGATTAGGCTCTGGGGAAAAAATTAGGCTGGGAACAACAACGCAAACATCAGGCCACAGAGAGGGCTCTTCCACGCGAGCTTATGAGCACAACGTTACCATCCTATGGCGGGTCATGTGAAATGAAGCGGCTCTCAACACTCATGGCCATAGCAGCTCATATGGAACTCAGCTGGTGTGTGCAAGGGGGAACACAGGTGCCTTGGGACGTCAGGTGTGTCTCCTTCTACTCCCACAGCAGGGAAGCAAGGGCCAGAAACATTTTACTTCAAAGCAGCACAAACCGGTCTGAGCAGTGGATCGTGAGGTGCGTGGTTATAAAAAGCCTGCTTGTCATGTGGGGGTCAGGAAGAGGAGTCTGGTGGCTCTCTGCAAGCTGCCCTGGGCCAGCTTGGTCACAGTGGGACAGCGAGGCTGAAGAGCAGGATAACGCTACTTCCTGTCTTTGCCATTTTCAGTCTGCAAACTCATTTTCTGTCTAAAGTGTGTCTGTGTTAACCTTGGGAAAAATGTTAAAAGAACCTTTTATTCCAACGGATGCATTCCTTCCCACCAGAAATAAATAGTGTGCGGTGTGGCTAACATATCACTTGCCACTTCTGCATTCCCTCCGTGTGGAGAAGCAAGGAATTCAAAACCATATGTGGCCTCAGGTGACTTAAACTTTTAGGACCCCCTTAGGAGACTTGTGCTCCCTCTCCTTAGCGAGGGGCCTCTGATAGCTGCCGGAAGAAATGACAAGGGCCTCCTTTCATTACCTAGGACTTGAAGGCTTTGTAATTATTTCAGTGACATTTAGAAAGAATTTGCTTAGAGCGCTTTATAACTGCGCTGCTCTTAGGTGAGGTTTCAGCCAACTCAGGAGCTCTAGGAGTCACATTTCAGCATGAAAATAAGACTCAGTGTTCACGAATTTAACCTGCAAAGTCACAAAGAAGAGCCCGTATGGTTCATCTTCACAGACACTAATGTTATTTTTAATCCGCCACTTCCCCCTGACTTTGCTGTCCCTGGGACCCAGTTATTGCTTACAACTAAATATTCTGGAGTTTCTCAACACATTATGGCATAAAGCAGGCTTTAAAGAAGCCCGCTTAACTCCTCTACTTTTTTTACTTAAGTCGTGTATTTTCTCATCTGGAATTATCCCCATTTGAATGCTAGCGCTATGAAGACAGGGGCATTTTCTGTCACGGAATTGCTGTGTGCTGGAGCCAAGCACTGTGTCTGTGGCTGGTGCTCAGTGAGTATTTGTTGAACAGACACGGAACGAGTGAATGAACAATGAATGAGTGAAATTATGAAGAAGGAATAATAATGGAGTTTCTAGGAAAAGCCAGGGTTATATCAACCTAACGGTTTTTACAGGCGAATATTGCTAAGGGCCTTCCCCTAAGACAGAGAGACAGAGAGAGAGAGACAGAGACAGGAAGCTCATGGGAAGGAGAGCAGAAGCTAGAGAGGTGGCTTATTCAGGATGAAGGGACAGTCATTCCTCTAGGGCAGAAAGATGATAAGGAGGAAGTGGGGACATGGAGAAACTAAACTTGCCCAATTTCTCAGTTAACCTGCAAAAAGCATCAGACTCCTGAGAGGAGAGGGAAGGGGAAAAAAACCCGAGGGAATTTCAGAGTCACTCTATGAACTTGAGGTGGGAACCTTACCGCTTTCAGGTGTGAGCATGTCTATGGCACAGGTACAAAGGCTGGGCTGGAGATGAGGTGCTGCTCCAGCCCGTCAAGGTGCCCCCCCTCACTGCCATGGTTTGTAGAAGTGGGTTTCGGTCTATTTCAGAACCTATTTAGAAGTTTGGACCCCCCAAATAGTACAGACGGTTCTAAGAAAAAAAACCCTACAATCATGGTAATCCCAAAGGTTTATACACTCGAGAAGAAACTCTATTTTATTCCTTCTTTAGAAATCAAAGGTTACTCTTAGAGCTCCATGGCCTTGAGAAGTCTTAGCCTTCTTCATACTCTGAATTACTATTTAATTTTCCCCTTTCCACTTTAAAGTGGAAATAGCAATGGTTTTTATTGGTACCTTATAATGTTTTTATATGAGGCACCTACATCTTCCACACAGGCACTCATTACAGCTATAAAACGTTTCATCATTATTGGTAGGTCAATGCTCATATTTCTTTATCTATTTTCACAAAGAAAACACAGTTAAGAAGGTTTTTATTAATATTTATAGCCTTTGTTCTTCTGATCCGTGACAAACAGCAAAAAGGTAGGATTCTGACCATGTCTAATCCATAAGACCCCACTCCCTGTGATTTACGGGTGGTCACACTTCCCAGGCGGAGAACTGCCCCGTCTCGTTACTGCCTTGGCTGACCCCGGGGGAGACCCGATCTGCAGATTATTCCCCACCAGTGATGCTTGCAGCATGCTTGGACACTTCTGGGAGTCAAGACAGAGATCTGGGGGCAATGGAAGTTGATGCTTCTGTACTTCAAAGGCAGCTGTGTAATTAGGAGACAGCGAGGAGGGGACAGAGCGAGGAAAATGGGGAGCCCGAAGCCCCACAGGCTCCTCCTGTCTAGCACGGGCTTGGGGGGCCCACGGGAGGGCGGGGAGGCGGCTGTGGGAGAGCCAGGACTCCAGGACTTGCGATGCCCACAGAGACAGGAGCCGGGCAGAGGAGGGCCCGAGCCGGCGCAGTGCTTACCTCGGGGCTGGAGTAGTGGGGGGGCTTGCTGCCCTCGCTCTCGCTGGAGCTGCTCTCCGTCTCCGAGTCGGATCCCGAGCTGCTCTCCGAGTCACTAGAGGAGCTGCTGCTGCCACTGCTGCTGCCGCTGCTGCTGCCCTTGCTGGAAGGCGCCGAGCCTCTGCAGTGGGGCTGCTGGGCCACCGTGCTGCCGGCCCACGAGGCCCCCCGGGAAGGAGAGGGAAGAAAAGCCAAGTGAGCAAACAGGAAAACACCACCACTCGGCCACACGTCCAAAGGGAAGAGGAGGCACACGCAGCCTACACATCTGTCAACCATGACCTGGAACTCAAAGAGCAGTCGTCAAGGTCAAAGGCATCTTAACGGTTAAAACAAATTATACATGGAAATAAAATTGGGATTAAAAGTCGGTGCCCCTTGGTAGTTGGGCCCTGGTTTATTTATGTGGCCATTTCAGAAGGGAAGGTGGTGTAATGTCTGAATGGCTGTTTCTTATTTTGCTGCTGTTCTGGAAACGGTTTTTCAAATGCATCCCCAAATCCAATCATCTTCAAAAATGCAAGGAAATCCAAAAAGCTTGAAATATTTTGCAAAGTGTGAAAATGACTGCTTTATTTTTGCCCCAGAGGAAAATGCAGTGTGATGGCAGGGATTAGGAAGAGGGCTGTCAGGAAGGGCAAAGGCGTTCAGCTCTGAGCTTTCATGGCCTGCTGGAAGGTTCCAGAGACTGTGAGATTGCCAAAGTTAAAGTCTTGCTTCCCCCCTTCTCCCACCCACAGAGTTGAGTGCAGCAGTGATTACAGGAGCTGGCATATTGTATCAACAGGAACCTTCTTTTGAGCCCTTTACTAAAGAACCGAGGATCCCCCACTGACAACGTTTTTATATATTCCAGAGTTTCAAATTCAATCCCAGTGCAGTAGCTTATAGGAGCAGCATTTCAAATTTACACTTTGTGTTTATATCTATGCTGAAATTTGCCAGAAAGCCATTACATACTCAAAGATAACAGGAAAAATCAATTGATACTTTCCAATGGTAATTAATTAACCACAAAAATTCAAAGAGCACACATCCACCCAGAAAGTGTTTGAGCCAAAAAGAATATTTCAGTACTCACATAAGATTCAACATCTTCAAAGTCCTTTATTGACTGAATTGAAACACACCTGAGTGTGTTTCTTTGAGCTCTAGCTCTAAACCCAGAAAATGCTGGTCACTTTTTTTTTATGTTGAGTCAGCAAATATCTGTTTGCCATTTCTAACCGTGACCACTGCCTCACCAGGACCGAACACCAGTGAAGGCCAAGGGCCGGGGAGCTCGTTAGGCTTTATGATCTCAGGTGCAAAGCAGCCTGGACAAGGTAAAGGACCCTTTTCACCCACCCCTTAAATCTCTGACAAATGCTTTGCCCAAGGACAGACTCTCATAAATCCAGGGGCTGGGTTGGGGGGTGGCGGCATACTCATTGGAGCCTTGCTTCTATAGAAACCACAAGACAAGAAACTGTCTTGCAGGAAACCTGAGAATAAAAGCACCTTTTTGAACAGCAGGGTTAGGGGAAACCAGAGCTTAAACACAACCTTCCCTAGTGGTTTTCATTTCTTCCACTAATGTCACGGTCCATACCGACTGTCTGACAAAATTCTTCAACATCAGGCAACATCTGCATGTTCATGCCTTGCCTGAACTGTGGCGATTTCTTTTCCAGCCTACCGTCTGTGTTTGGTACTGAGTGAGGAATCCTGGACCTTGAGACAGGGTAGGGGAAGGGATGGTTAGCGCTCAAGAGGCAGTAGTATTTTCTTCCCTTATGAATAGAAATCCATCTTTCCTGTTGGCTGAATCATAAAACAAAAAAAAAGAAAAGAAAAGAAAAGAAAAAGACTATTGGATTCTGACCAAACATGAACATCTGGGATCCATGTTAATAGTGTCTCTGCAGGCCCCTAAAACACTGGGGGGAAAACACAAAAAAATCCCAAAAAAGCAAAACAACACATGGCCCAAAGACTCCCTTTTCTTTTGATGGTGGGATAAAAATACGGAGGAAAGAGGTGAGTCTCCCTGCCACACTCTGGAATGACATTTGCCAAAGATTGGGAAATTCAGATGAATAAAGAGCATTCTGGATTGGTTTTATATGACGTTCAATGGCTTTGATTACTGACTGTACATTCTACCTGCTTTAATTCAAACAACAAAGAACACGTGATGCTGGTTCTGTGTGTCCCTGGGCTTTGTTGTACTGCCGAGGCAGAGATGTGTGTGGAAGTCCTTGTGGCTGGCACCCCAAACTGACTGTCTTTTGAAAAGCAGCACTTTAATTTTCGGGAAAATGTCCATTAAACAGTTAGCATACTGTCTTCCTTTAACGATTGCCATCCTAGAGCAATGAGGTACACTAGCCCACGGAGACAGAATTTCCAATCTGAATTAGACTGGTAGAAAAGCTTTATACTTTTATGTTTTCCTCCCTTAAATTAGGAAGTTTGCTCAAAATGACAGTTTTACTGGCATAACTATCATTTGTTTTTAAAACAGCTGAGAGAGCCAAGAAATTTAGGTTTTTCTTCATGCTTTGCTTATAAGGGTTGTGAAGCTCATGATGTCAGGATGGAATATAGTCATGTTTCAGTGGTCTGGGGAGAGAGTGTGTGTCTGGAAACAATTCAAGTCAAGGATGGGGCAGGCTTGCCTGGAAGGACTCTGGTGGCTCCAGTTGTGGGATCAAGATAACTTCCCCACTTCCATGAAGACAGCTCCACTAACCAGTCTTTGTCTGGGTCCTTGGAGACAACTGATCATTCTGGCCTTAGTATAGTGGCTGCTCTGGCCTGAGTGCATGCACCTGCTTCACCTCTGCTGGGGCAGCTGCATTAGTGAGGGGCAGGATCAAGATGAGGGAGCCAGGGACAGTCATCCCTGCAGATGGGTACTAATGAAATGGTGGGCTCAGTGCAGCCAGGAGGGATCTCTGGAGCCACAGAATCTAGAAGATGAAAAAAGACATACCAGAAAGACCTTACATGTTTTTAAATGTACACTGAAAATCCTGGTATGCAAAGTGGTTGTTGTGTTTCCGTATCAAAGATACTTCAAAAAAAATTAACTTCGCAGAATTTTTCCTGAAATGATTAATACAGACTGGTTGACATGATGACACAGCCTTAAACAATTTTTAAGATACTACCCACCAAGTTCTTGGACCCTATGCCATTTCATGAACGTGGTTCCATTGAGAGCAGCCATGAAACATTACTGAGATCATGGAATAAAAGTCTTTGTGTCACCAAAGCTCAGCCCAGTGCCTGGCACTTAATAAGCATTCACATGCAATTACTGAATGAAAAGATAAATGGAAAAACAATCTATCACCGGTTTAATGAGTTTTTTTTAAAAAGAGACTCAGCCTTTCAAAATGGTTATAATCTCTCTTTTCAAATTAAAAATACATTTAAGGGGACTTTAGCACCTCTCATGCTCTTCCAATTTTAACACTTTTTCCCTTTGGAGAATATTTAACTGTACTCTAAATTTCATCTGCTATAATTTAAGCACAATTCCCTCTTGGATGGGTTGTTTACTTTTTGTATTTTGATTCCATGAAATGTTTTGCTGGTTTTGTGAGTGGTCAGGACCCCTTTGAGGGAGGTCCAGCTTTATTCTAAATGACCTGCTTGCTACATCCCTTCCTTCAGCTGCAATGACATTGTCCTTTTGGAATCGGCCAGGGCCAAGTCTGAATACAGATCTTAAAAGACAAGACCTGGAATTGAAATGACAAATCCTGGCTCTCACAGTCTAGGGTGCTCCTGCCTGCCAAGCATATTGTGGGATCTGGATATATATCCAAAGTTGTCCATGAGCTTTTAACTGACAAGTAATTTGGAGACAGGCTCTCTGCCTGGTTGGCACTGTTATGGATAGCTGTGCTGCCCACAAAGTGCCATGCGTGCTGTGGGTGCTCCATTGGTATTGACTGAATGATAATACTTAGCTCTTTCTCACTCAACACTCTGTAAAAACTCAACAAATGCTTGCTTTACAAACCATAATCAGTATCTTAGTAACAGTATCCCTTAACTGATAGCATTCCTGTTCATATTAATTGATGTAAAACCATAACTGTATGATAAGTGAAGATGGTAAAAGCTGGTTTGAGGAGGTTCACTGTTGCTAGAATTATCTTCAAAAAACTAAAACTGATAGGACCGCTGGTTCTATATGGAAATGTTTTGATTTGCTTTGCAGTAACTCTAGGAACAATTTCTCTTTAAAATATGGCTTTTGACGCTTTTAATGGTCTTGGTTTTCTGCCATCTCAGAATAACTTCATTTGCCCTTCATTCCTGAAAGATATTTTCACTAGATATATAGAATTTTGGGTTGATTTTTTTTTTTTTTTTTTGTTCAGCACTTGAAAAACGATGTGCTGCTTCCTTTGGTCTCCATGGTTTCTGAATCCAGTGGGTCAAATAGTTTTTATTGTTTTCCCTTTACATGTAAGACATTGTTTATCTCTCACTGCTTTCAGGATTTTTTCCTTTGTCTTTTGTTTTCAGAAGTTTGACTGTGATGCATTTTGGCATTGATTTCTTTGGGTTTATCTTGTTTGGGATTCATTCAGCTTCTTGAATCTGTAGGTTTGTGTCTTTTGTCAAATTTGGCAAATTTTTAGCTGTTACTACTTTTAATACTTTCTGAAAAAATTTCCAGCCCCATATTCTTTTTCCTCTCCTTCTGGAACTCTGATAATACAAATATTAGATCTTTTGTTATAGTCCTACAGGTCCCTGAGGCTCTGTCCTCCCCCTTCCCCAATTCCAGTCTATTTTTTCTCTGTTGTTCCTATTGTGAAATTCTTATTGTTTTGTCTTCAAGTTCACTGATTCTTTCCCTCTGCTCTCTTCATTCTGTTTAGCTCATCCATTGAATTTTTAGAATTTTAGTTAGTGAATTTTTCAGTTCTAAAATTTCCATTTGGTTCTTCTTTGTATCTTCTTACCATTTTTCTGAGACTCTTGTTTTTGTATTTGTCTCATGCTTGTTCTTATTTGCTTATGGAAGCATTTTATGATGGTTGCTTTGAAATCCTTGTCAGATAATTATAACATCTGTGTTGTCTCAGTATTAACATCTGTTGATTGTCTTTTCCCATTCCATTTGAGATTTTCCAGGTTCTT